CTTGGCTGGGGAAGGGACTGGGCTGGAATTCCCTGCCCTTGGAATTTTTTGGGAAGGAATCCTTGGCTGGGGAAGGGACTGGGCTGGAATTCCCTGCCCTTGGAATTTTTTGGGAAGGAATCCTTGGCTGGGGGAGGGACTGGGCTGGAATTTTGGGTGGGATTTGAGAATTCCAGAGGTTTTTCCTCATTCCCAGGGTGTTTTTTTTTTCCCCCCTCCGCAGGGAGGAGGAATTCGTGGATCTGAGCAAGGAATTCGAGCCCAGCCTGGTGAACAGCACCATCTACATCCTGTCCATGGCCATGCAGATGGTCACCTTCGCCATCAACTACAAGGTTTGGCAGCCGGGAATTCCCTGGGGATAATCCCTTGGGATGTTCCCCTGGGATGTTCCCTCCTTTCCCACCCCTTTCCCTCTTTTCCCCCTCCCAGAATCCTGGCCTGGTTTTGGATTTCTCCGCTGAGGAGTCCTTGGAATTCCTTGGGAATCTTTGCCTGTTTGGGAATCTTTTCCCATTTCCCCTTTGGGAATCTTTTCCCATTTCCCTTGGGAATCTTTTCCCATTTCCCTTGGGAACTTTTTCCCATTTCCCTTTGGGAATCTTTTCCCATTTCCTTTTGGGAACTTTTTCCCACTTCCTTTTGGGAATCTTTTCCCATTTCCTTTTGGGAATCTTTTCCCATTTCCCTTGGGAATCTTTTCCCACTTCCCTTTGGGAATCTTTTCCTACTTCTTTTGGGAATCTTTTCCCATTTCCTTTTGGGAATCTTTTCCCACATCTTTTGGGAAACTTTTCCCACTTCCCTTTGGGAATCTTTTCCTACTTCTTTTGGGAATCTTTTCCCATTTCCCTTGGGAATCTTTTCCCATTTCCTTTTGGGAATCTTTTCCCATTTCCTTTTTGGGAATCTTTTCCCATTTCCTTTTGGGAAATTTTTCCCATTTCCCTTTGGAATCTTTTCCCATTTCCCCTTTGGGAATCTTTTCCCATTTCCCTTGGGAATCTTTTCCCATTTCCCTTGGGAATCTTTTCCCATTTCCCTTGGGAACTTTTTCCCATTCCCTTTGGAATCTTTTCCCATTTCCCTTGGGAATCTTTTCCTATTTCCCTTGGGAATCTTTTCCCATTTCCTTTTTGGGAATCTTTTCCCATTTCCTTTTTGGGAATCTTTTCCCATTTCCCTTGGGAACTTTTTCCCATTCCCTTTGGAATCTTTTCCCATTTCCTTTTGGGAATCTTTTCCCGTTTCCCTTTGGGAATCTTTTCCCATTCCCCTTGGGAATATTTTCCCATTTCCCTTGGGAACTTTTTCCCACTTCCCTTTGGAAATCTTTTCCCACATCTTTTGGGAATCTTTTCCCATTTCCCTTGGAAACCTTTTCCCATTCCCTTTAGGAATCTTTTCCCATTTCCCTTGGGAATCTTTTCCCATTTCCCTTGGGAATCTTTTCCCATTTCCTTTGGGAATCTTTTCCCATTCCCTTTAGGAATCTTTTCCCATTTCCCTTGGGAATCTTTTCCCATTTCCCTTTGGGAATCTTTTCCCATTCCCCTTGGGAACTTTTTCCCACTTCCCTTTGGGAATCTTTTCCTACTTCTTTTGGGAATCTTTTCCCATTTCCTTTTGGGAATCTTTTCCCATTCCCCTTGGGAATCTTTTCCCATTTCCCTTGGGAATCTTTTCCCATTCCCTTTGGGAATCTTTTCCCATTTCCCTTGGGAATCTTTTCCCCCTTCCCTTGGGAACCTTTTCCAGTGTCCCATTCCCTCCCATTCCCCTTTCCCTTCCCATCCCCCCCATCCCTTCCCTCCCCATCCCCCCCCCAGTCCCTCAGCATTCCCGCTGTCATTCCCAGTGCCATTCCCGCTGTCATTCCCGCTGTTTTTCCAGGGCCACCCGTTCATGGAGAGCCTGGTGGAGAACAAGCCGCTGCTCTGGAGCCTCGTCCTGTCGGGATTGGCCGTCCTGGGGCTCCTCTGCGGCTCCTCCCCGGAATTCAACCAGCACTTCGGCCTCGTCGACATCCCCACCGAGGTGGAATTCCCAACATTCCAGGCCCTTTTCCGTGGGAATTTTCAAGGGTGGAGTCCAAAGGGGGGTTTTGGAGCTTCCTGTGGGATTTTGGGGCAGTTTGGGGCTCCAAATCCAGGCTGGGAAGGGTGGGAATCTCCTCAGGGAGATCCCCAATGAGCTGTTCCCAAAATTCCAGGGCTTTTTCCCATGGGAAAACGGCTCCCCGCAGGGAATTTTCCTCGGGAATGTCAAGGGGTGGATTGAAGGGTCGGAATCCCGTTCCAGGAGAGATGGAGAGGGATTTGGGATGAGGGGATGGAGGGAAGGGATTCCCGCTGGAAAAATGGGATTGAGAGGGACTTTGGGAGGGATTGAGGGGACTGGGCCGGAATTCCCAGAGAATTCCCATCCCTGGAAGTGTCCAAGGTCAGGTTGGATCTTCCCAATCCATGGAATGTGTCCCTTCCCAATCCATGGAATATTTGGGAAGGAATCCTTGGCTGGGAAAGGGCTGGGCTGGAATTCCCAGAGAATTCCCATCCTCGGGAATGTCCAAAGCCAGGTTGGATCCATGGGAATTGTCCCTGCCCTTGGAATTTTGGGTGGGAATGGGAGGCTTTAAGGGCCTTTCCCACCCCAAAGAATTCCAAGATTTTGCTGTGGGAGAGCTGGGAATGTTCCCCTGGAGCTGGGAGGGATCCCAAGGGAGAATCTTCCAGAACCTTGGAATTTGGGAAGGAATGGGCTGGAATTCCCTGCCCTTGGAATATTTGGGAAGGAATGGGCTGGAATTCCCTGCCCTTGGAATATTTGGGAAGGAATGGGCTGGAATTCCCTGCCCTTGGAATATTTGGAAAGGAATGGGCTGGAATTCCCTGCCCTTGGAATATTTGGGAAGGAATGGGCTGGAATTCCCTGCCCTTGGAATTTGGGAAGGAATGGGCTGGAATTCCCTGCCTTTGGAATTTTAGGTGGGAATGGGCTGGAATTCCCATCTCTTGGAATTTGGGAAGGGCTGGGCTGGAATTCCCTGCCCTTGGAATTTTTGGGAAGGAATGGGCTGGAATTCCCTGCCCTTGGAATTTTTGGGAAGGAATGGGCTGGAATTCCCTGCCCTTGGAATATTTGGGAAGGAATGGGCTGGAATTCCCAGCCCTTGGAATTTGGGTGGGAATGGGCTGGAATTCCCTGCCCTTGGAATTTTTGGGAAGGAATGGGCTGGAATTCCCAGCC